AAGGTAGTTTCATGAGCTAACTTAAGAGTGTTTAATTCTTTAGTTAGACACTCAATCTCCTTCTTATCATCATCATTCCTTTTAGCTCGATTTGCATGATTAATTGACATTTCATCATAGTTCTCATAACTAGAGTTGTCAACAAGTAAATCATCATCACCTAGCAAATCATCTTCATCACTATTGAAATCAACATACTCGGGGTGTATTACCTTTGGACCTTTAGCCATGAAGCATCTCCCAATTCCTTCATTTGGTGAGTCAAATATGTCGTAGGAGTTGGTTGACACAAGTGCTAGATCGGCAACACCTTCATCTTGAGTATATTCGGAGTCAGAGTGATGGTCGGAGTCGGAACCGGATACCCATTCACCAACATGAGCTTGATGTCTTCTTTTTGTGTAGCTCCTTGATGACTTATCCTTCCTTTCTGAATCCTTGCTTTTCCGAGAGGATCTTCGTTCATAATGATCATCTCTACTCCTTTCTCTTGATGGTGATTCTTCTCTTCTACTTCTTATTTTGGGAGAATCTTCTCTTCTTTTGTAGGGAGCCATACACTCATTGGAGTAGTGTCCGGGTCTTCCACAATTGTAGCAATTACGCTTACGACTAGAAGATCTTTTGTCATTGTAGGACCTTGACTTGGAACTTCTTTCCTTGCTTCTACTCTTGTAGAACTTGTTGAAGTTCTTCACCATTAGACTCAATTCTTCATTGAAGGTTTGCTTCCCACTTGATGATGTGGGAGCATCACACGAGGCTTTGTAAGCACCACTTGACTTATTGTGAAGCTCTTCCTTATCCTTGAGTGACATCTCATGAGCAACAATTCTTCCAATGACTTCCGTTGGCTTGAGATCTTTGTAGTTGGGCATCATTTGGATCAATGTGCACATGGTATCATATTTTCCATCCAAGGCTCTTAGGATCTTCTTGATGATGAATCTATCAGTCATCTCTTCACTTCCTAAGCCGGCAATCTCATTTGTGATGAGAGCAAGCCTAGAGTACATTTCAGCGACACCTTCACCATCCTTCATTTTGAACTTGTCAAGTTGACTTTGAAGCACATCCAATTTGGATTCCTTGACGGAGTCGGTACCTTCGTGCATATCAATCAAAGTATCCAAAATTTCCTATGCATTCTCAAAACGGCTGATTTTGTTGAATTCTTCGGGGCACAATCCGTTGAAGAAAATATCACACGCTTGAACATTGTATTGTAGCATCTTCAACTCTTCTGCAGTAGCTTCATGGTTTGGTTCTTTCCCATCGAAGAATTCACCTTGCAAGCCAATACACACAATAGCCCAAACAGCGGGGTTATGTCCAAGAATATGCATTTTCATCTTATGCTTCCAACTAGCAAAATTTGTACCATCAAAGTAAGGATATCTACGGTGGTAATTTCCCTCGCTAGACGCCATACTCTCCAAGGTTGTGAAACCAAGGCTATGACCACCAAAAGCTATGGAAATCAAAGCAAATGGAGACCAAAGCTCTGATACCACTTGTAGGATCGAAAGTATGTCTAGAGGGGGGTGATTAGACTACTTGACCAAATAAAAATCTAGTCTTTTCCCAATTTTAGTTCTTGGCAGATTTTAGCAACTTTGCACAAGTCAAGCAATCAACCTACACATGCAATTCTAAGAGTATAACAGCGGAATGTAAAACAATTTCACATGAAGGTAAAGGGAGGAGTTTAAGGGAGCAAACGCAATGTTGACACGGAGATTTTTTATCCGTGGTTCCGATAGGTGGTGCTATCGTACATCCACGTTGATGGAGACTTCAACCCACGAAGGGTAATGGTTACGCGAGTCCACGGAGGGCTCCACCCACGAAGGGTCCACAAAGAAGCAACCTTGTCTATCCCACCATGGTCGTCGCCCACGAAGGACTTGCCTCACTAGGGTAGATCTTCACGAAGTAGGCGATCTCCTTGCCCTTACAAACTCCTTGGTTCAACTCCACAATCTTGACGGAGGATCCCAAGTGACACCTAGCCAATCTAGGAGACACCACTCTCTAAGAAGTAACAAATGGTGTGTTGATGATGAACTCCTTGCTCTTGTGCTTCAAATGATAGTCTCCCCAACACTCAACTCTCTCTCACACAGGATAGGATTTGGTGGAAAGATGATTTGAGTGGAAAGCAACTTGGGGAAGGCTAGAGATCAAGATTTATGTGGTTGGAATGGGATATCTTGACCTCAACACAAGTGTAGGTGGTTCTCTCTCAGAAAATGTGTATTGGAAGTGTAGGCATGTTCCGATGGCTCTCTCCACGAATGAAGAGTGGGTGGAGGGGTATATATAGCCTCCACACAAAATCTAACCGTTACACACAAATCACCAAACTCGGTGGGACCGATTCAGAGAACTCGGTCAGACCGATTTGGTTCATAATGTGACCGTTAGGCATTTCGGTGGGACCGACATGTCAACTCGGTGGGACCGATTTCATTAGGGTTAGGGCATATAACGTAATCTCGGTGAGACCGATTACACAAACTCGGTGAGACCGATTTTGGTAATAGACAAACAGAGAGTTGGTCAGGCAAACTCGGTGGGACCGATTCGCTCATCTCGATTGGACCAAAACGTTACGAAAAGGAAACAGAGTGTTTGCATTGCAATCTCGGTGGGACCGATCGCTCATCTCGGTTTGACTGAAACGTTACGAAGGGAAACCGAGAGATTACAATCCCATCTCGGTGAGACCGAGATCCCTATCGGTGAGACCGAAAAGACTAGGGTTTCTGGCAGTGGCTATGTCAACTAAACTCGGTGGCTTTGGATATGAAATTTCGGTAGGGCCGAGTTGGACTTTTTGGTTTGGACATATGTGGATGTGAGAAAGTAGTGGAGGGTTTGTGGAGCATATCATTAAGCATTTTGAGCAAGAACCTCATTAAGCAACTCCTCACCCCTTCTTAATAGTATTGGCTTTTCCTATAGACTCAATGTGATCTTGGATCACTGAAATAGAAAATGTAAAGTCTTGTGCTTTGAGCTTGAGCCAATCTTTTGTCCTTAGCATTTTGAAGGGTCCACTTTCTAATCCATGCCATGCCAGACATTGAGCTTTCCTAAAAAAATTATCTTGAAATAGCATTAGCTCAATGAGCTATATGTTGTTAGAAATTACCAAAACCACCCAGGGATAGTTGCACTTTCAAACTCACGGCAGGAGGAGTATATAATTGCACCACCTTCATCTCTACGCACCATGCCAGCTCCTGCTGTGTTGTCCACTTTTGAAAAAGAGTCATCATTGCTCAACGCCACCTAGCCCGCCGACGAAGGCTCCCAGGCAAGGTTCTTTCGCTCCCAGCGCACATGTGATAACGGGTTGTTCTTGCTTAGTTGGTCGGCTCCCATTTTACCTTTGACATGATCAGCATGAGGGTTGGCTTGTACGACTAGCGGGGAGGTAATATAACTGGAGAGAAACCGGGTCGACACCTTGATGGGTGGCGGACGTTTATTGTGGACGATCTCGTTGCGCACATGCCAACATCTCCATAGCGTCATCATCGTACACAAGCGCCCTTCCTCTGACAGCTCCGCTAACACATGGAGGAGCCAATTCGTCCCTGTGTTCACTAGCCTCCGGACGTCTGGAATATCCCATTGTTTTGCCATTGCTCGCCACAGCTCGACTGCTCGTGGGCACCTACATAGAGCATGGAATGTGTCCTCAGGTTCGGTAGCACACAACGGGCACAGATTAGAGACTTCAAGTTTAAGACGGTGCTTATTAGTCCAAGTGGGTAAACAATCAGTAGCCACACACGCCACGCAAACACACGCACCTTCGGAGGAGCAGGCACCTCAATAATAAAGCTCAGACGACTCGTCGCCAGTCCGGTCCCTGCTTGCCGCGACTGAAGGTTGATGAAGACGATCGTCGAGAGCGAGCCGATACGCGCTTCGGACAGAGAAAATACCATTCCGTTCTGGTTCCCATGCCAGGACGTCCGCACCAAGCCGAGGTGAAGTGCGAATTGAGTCATTGCACAGACCTGTGAAAAGAAATAGAAAAACGCAGCCGACGACGGAAAAAACAAAGGCCCACTAGATGTGAGGCTTTGGAGAGGAATGTGAATGGATTACAAAGAGAGAGAAAACAGATCGCCAGCCCAATATCACGAAAAAAACACGACAATGACTCGACCTTGCATTAGCAACGACCTGGACATGGCGAACCAACTTGTGGTTGGATGGTTAGAGAGATTATGGTATCCCAGCCCATTAAAGTTCAAATCCTGGTGTTTGCATTTATTTCTGGATTTATTTCAGAATTTCCCGCGATGCGCTTTCAGTGGGAGGAGATGTTTCCGTCGACGTCGAGGCGTCTACGATCACTTCGTAAATTTCAAAATGATATGCCGGCTCAGTCTTTAGGAGATGCTCATAGGGGTAGGGGATGCGTGTGTTCATAGGAATAAGTGAATGCGCGTGTATATTGATCATAGCTGATAGCGTGATGCCACATGGGGGATAAAGCAAAGACAAAAAATCAAGCAAAGAATCACCAGTCGGCACACGGCTGTCAGGGACACAATAAAGAATGCAACATGTGCATCATTACATTAAAAGTCGCATAGCGTAGCGTAGGAGCACGAACCTCCTCAACTACACGAAAGCCCACAAAGCCGGAACTCTCTCTCTCGAGCAGCCCAAAAAAACAAGTCACCCGTCCAGATCCCCCAAGTCCACCCATCCGAGATCTCCCAAATCCACCCGACCAAGCCATGGCCGGCGGCGACGAGGAGGCCACGACGGCGCTGCTGCCGCCGCCGGCGGGGTTGGCGGAGGCGGAGCGCCCGCCTCCCCCGCCGGCCGACCGGCTCGGGGTCGGCTACCTCATCTTCTTCACGCTCGGCGCCGGGTTCCTGCTCCCCTGGAACGCCTACATCACCGCCGTCGACTACTTCTCCTACCTCTACCCGGGCGCGCCCGTCGACCGCGTCTTCTCCGTCTCCTACATGCTCTCCTGCCTCCTCCCGCTGCTCCTCATCGTGCTCGTCTTCCCCAAGTCCAGCGCCCCGGCCCGCATCAACACCGGGCTCACCCTCTTCACGCTCGCGCTCCTTGTCGTCCCCGTCATGGACGCCGTCTACGTCAAGGGCACCCCGCGCCTCTACGGCGCCTTCGACGTCACTGTCGCCGCCACCGTCATGTGCGGCGTCGCCGACGCGCTCGTGCAGGGCGGGGTCATCGGCTTCGCCGGGGAGCTCCCCGAGCGCTACATGCAGGCTGTCGTCGCCGGAACCGCCGCTTCAGGTCCCCTTTCTCCCCCTCTGTTTTCTTCCGGTTCGTTTGTTTTTGCCCTGTAGCTAGTTTTCTGAATTGCCCCTAGACTAGAAACTGGTTTGGTTGTTTGTTCAGAAATCAGGCAGCATACAGCCTTATCGAGCTGAAGAGTTTGAGAGTATAAACTGACAGTGCAGCAGGTACTATAAAATCTGTTAGAACAACCAATAAGTGGTTTCAAATTTCAGTGGAGCATATATAGATTGTGCTTTGCCGACTTTGGAACTTGCTAGCATCTACTTTGTTTGTCAAAATGTCGGAGGCATATATTAGGATCTATGTGATGGGCTGATGCTAGATGCATTGTTTTCATGATCTGTGTTCCACAGGTGTACTTGTCTCAGCACTTCGAGTGATCACAAAAGCGAGCTTCCCTCAGGACCCCAATGGGCTAAGGCAAAGCGCAATCCTGTACTTCATGGTTAGCATGGTGGTCATGATCATCTGCATAGTGTGCTACAACGTGGCGCGCAGGCTTCCAGTCGTGGTGTACTACAAGAACATCAAGCAGAGGGCTCAGAAGGCGGAGGTGGGCGGCGGCATGACGGGGCCTGCCTGGAGGTCGACGCTGTGGAGCATTGTCGGGACGGTGAAGTGGTACGGGATAGGAGTGGTTCTCATCTATGCAGTCACCCTGTCCATATTTCCGGGGTTCATCACGGAGGACGTGCACTCGGATGCGCTCAAGGACTGGTACCCCATCATGCTCATCAGCGCCTACAACGTGTTTGATCTCATCGGCAAGTGCCTGCCGGCCATCTACCTCCTGCAGAACTCCAATGTTGCCGTTGCCGGTTCGTTCACGAGGCTCCTGTTCTATCCCCTCTTCTATGGCTGCCTGCACGGACCCAGCTACTTCCGCACCGAGATCCCGGTCACCGTGCTGACCTGCCTTCTCGGGCTCACCAACGGGTACCTGACCTCCGTGCTCATGATCCTCGCGCCCAAGGCCGTGCCCATACACCACTCCGAGACCGCGGGGATCGTTATAGTGCTGTTCCTTGTGGTTGGGCTGGTCCTCGGTTCGTTTGTTGCTTGGTTTTGGGTCATCTGAATGCATGGGGCACCTGCCATCCGCCCGCGTATTTCGTATCTGTGTACCATAGCACGCTCTTCTTGCTGATGCTTCATTTTGCCCACCAAAGGGTATGTAATTTCTCAACTGTGCAAATGTATGTAAATTTCCATTTCATGAAAGGATGACCACTGTTCATATCAATTCCTCAGCCCCCAGTCTCAGTTCCTATGAACTTTCCTTCTTCTTTTCTTCATTTATTGGCACGCCCTGAATCCCATCTCCTACCCTGCCCTCTTCTTCCTCTTCCATGTTCCCTTGCTCCTGTTCCTCCTCTGCCCAGCAATGGTTCAGGAGCAAAAGTTCAGAGCGGATGAATTGATGGATTTCTACAGAGTACGTAGCTATGCTGCAGGTTATAGAGCCGTCTTTGCTTCACTTAATATTGCTACTTATGATCGTGGGAACCATATAATTTTCTAAAGTTCTGTAGTTCTATACCCTTGGTGCTGAGTTCTGATTTTCCTTAAATACTCTCTCTGTACATACATTTGGTCACTTGTAGCTTACGCTTTCTGTTGGCAGTTGAACACGAAGTTGAAGAAGTTTTTGCATATAATTGAGAACTCTCCAGTTTACCCAGTTATATACTCCGTATATGATAACAACAGGTAAACCAATTTTATGGTATTATGGTTGCATTTCTCAACTTATTTCTCTTACAAGGCGCGTGGCCATTTCGCAGGTATATTTTGTTGAATCCTGAAAGATCATCATGTAGAGCATATCTTTTCGCCGGAAACCACAGACCTCATGTCTAGATGATAATTGAAAGAAGTGATAGATTTCAATCTTTTGCCATATAACACTTGGTTTTTCTGATGCACATTGCAATGTTCTTTGAAGCTTCCAGTCAGGATTTCTTTGAAGCTCTGACAGTCAAACATCACTATCACAGTATGTCCAACCCCTCCGCTGGTAGACGTTGCCACTTTTTGAAGCTCTATGCAAAAACGAGCGTACACACACACTCTCTCTCTCTCTCTCTTCTACGGATAACCGTTTTCTCAAAGAAGTGGGCCTGAGCACCAAAACTCCACCAGAATCAGGCCCACGACCTCGCACCCCACAGTTGCAACACCACGGTGCTCTAGTTTTGTTTAGTACCACCTCGCCTGCGGGAGGAGGCTGGGGAGGAAGAGCCAGCTATATAATGAGCCCTCGGTACACCCTTACAACATACTTACCTGGACGGGGTCGACGGCTGATCAAGAAGAGTCATGGCCTAGGCTAGTGGTCCACATTACACTTGGTGGATGCGCTGGCCTACCATCTACTCAAGTGGGAGAGTGGATGTCGTAATTTGTGGTAGAGGGGGTTTGCCAATTCTCTAAATCAAATTTTGATCCTTGAGAGGCCTTCTACTAAGTTATGTTTAGTTTTAGTTGCATCAACTTGGCCTTCCAGAATCAGCATGTTGCAAATTACCTTTCAGTTGCCGAGGTGGCTGCTAATTAGTGGAGTATAGGATTGCTTGCAAATGTGGTCTGGGGTAGCGTGCTGGGGCCTGCTGTGCTCGCTGTTGAAGCAGCAAGGGGACAGGTGAGACAAGAGCGGGGAGCTCCACTGCTGTTCTTTTGCTTTTTTCGAGAGAGGCGCACAGGCGCACGATTGGAAGATGTACCCCACTCGGACCCGGCCGAAAGTCCACCAGGAAACAGACCCACGACCTTGTGTTTTTACAAGTCTCCATGCAATTTAATTAGAACTCGCGTCCTCCTCCCATGTATATATTCCTAGACTAAAAAAATTATATATTCCTTAATTAATTCTAAAAAAGTATATAATCCTTAATTAAAGCTACTCGGTTGTTCTGAAAAAAGTACTCACTCATTTAAAAAATATAAGGCGCGGTTGACTTTTTTTTGTTTTGCTCTTTGACAAAAAAAATTTTGCAGGGACTGTTTGACATAATTTTAACTATGATTTTCACTTGTAGCATGTCTAAATAATTAGTATAAAGATATATAAAATAAAACTAGTTTGCACGACAAATATGTGATACTATTTATACATGCTAGATTCATATAATTTTGTATATATTAGTGATCAAAGTTATGCATTAAAGACCGTGGAAAGTCAATTGTGTTATATTTTGGGAAGGAAGGAGTATTCGCTAGTATGCATCCACAGTAACTTTTTAACTGCATGTGTACCCGCGAAAAAAAAATCTTTCAGCTGCATGCGATCATCATTGGCTCCAACTCGTTAATTTTTTTTTTTTTTGAGAAATCTCGCCTGCTTTATTTATTCAGAAGTAATTGTCATAGGTACAAGATTGGGGTCATGGGGATTGCACAACCAAACATGTCTACCTATATGTAGATTACAAGCAAACTTGGCGAGATGGTGAGCTTCAAAATTGAAGTTCCTACGCTCGAAAACAAAAGTGCAAGTGATAAAACTATTACAATGGGTCATTATTTCATGTACCAACGCAGCATTGGGGCCTCCTGTTCCCCTATTGATATCATTAACCGCCTCTTGGCAGTCCGATGCCACGCAAATTCTCTGTTGTCCCAGGTCATCTGCCAAAGCAAGAGCCTCATGGCATGCAAACGTCTCCAAGGTTAAGGGGTCCGTGATCCCATGGTAAATAATTATGGGATCATCATCTCGTACTCTCCTCTTTATATTTATTATTTGCAACATCCTCCACCTGAGCCCACGAGGCCTGACCACCGTGGATCATCTACCCAGCCCAGACAATCCATTTGAAATCAACCTTCTATGCAAAAAACGTACAAACTCTTCTCCCAAAGATCATTTTCTAATGAACTGGGCCTGAGCACCGAAGGTTCACCAGAATCAGGCCCATGAACTTGCACCGGCTGCACCTAAAAAAAAAACTCTGTGTCTTGTTTGTTTAGTACCACCTCGCCAACGGGAGGAGGCAGGGGTGGGGGAGGATGCTATATAATGATCCCTCAATGCACTGTTGCAAAATACTTACCTGGACGGGGTCGACGGCTGATCAAGAAGAGTCGTGGCCTAGGCTAGTGGTCCACATTGCACTTGGTGGATGCGTTGGCTTACCATCTCCCCAAGTGGGAGAGTGGACCTCATAATTTATGATAGAGGGGGTACGCGTCCGCGCGGCCCCTGCCAATTCTTTAAATTAAATATTGATCTTTTATATTTGTGAGGATGAGGATTTATGTGTTTGTTTGGCCCCTGCCAATTCTCTAAATTAAACATTGGACCTTTATTATTGATATAGTACTAGCATTGCAGCTGCTGAAGATAAGTTGTACTAGCCGATGTCTGATTTGGCGTAATATCACAGTCGAGCAACAAATACTCCTAGCAGTACCACAGTGCACCTAGTACCTGAATGAAGAGGAGCAGGGGATCCTAATAAAATTGCAATACATATCAAACGATGAAAGGTTGCCTATAAAAGCATATAGATACCGTACAAGACTAGCTAACAAGTAAAGTAGCAGATTGTATACATAATTCGCAAGAGCGCTTGTCCGCGCCTGCTCACGGAATCGGCTGGCGTCCATCGGGTCCAGAGTATTAGCGCGTGATGTATACTGCCACAGTAGTCTACGGATATTTTAATGGGAGGGGAGATGGGAGAGGGACAACATTTGTTTCTAGCGGAGGGACGGTCGTTAGCGGAGGGACGGTCGTTAAGGGCGGAAGCAAAGGTGTATCAGAAGCACGGACGGAGGTGGAGAGACATCAGGCTGCAAAACAACCACAGCTACTAATTCATGAAAACAACAAATCCAAACATTTATGTCTGCATGAAGCATACTGATGATACATCTCAAAAGACAGAAAACCACCATCTGTTCTTTACAGGGAAGCGACTGCAGGCTGGAAAACAACCACAGCTACTAATTTATGAAAACAACAAATTGAAACATTATTTCTGCATGAAGCATACTGATACACCTCACAGGACGGAAAACTACCAACTGTTTTTTAACAATTTCTTTTCTCGTTTTGCAAACGAATGGCTGCAGAGCCCTCATCAAGATAGATTTGCAATGTAGAGTATAATCATTCACAAATGGTGCTTGGGCCGAATCCAGTAGATGGAACAACATGCAGGATGACCTTAGTCTTGTTGCAAGTATTCTTCCTGTGGCCACCAACCCCACAATTTGAGCATTTTGCTTCTTTCCTCTCTTTGTGAGGCATGTCACCTCTCTTCGGGCATGTGGGGCTCTTGTGCCCTGGTTCCCGGCATATACTACAGAAGCGAGTTCGCTTACTTGTGCCACAATCATTCGCAGCATGCACATTAGGAGTGTGTGACTTATTCTTTGCACTCCGGTCGTCGTATGGAGGTTTGTCCCTGCTGGTGGTTGGTCGCCCTGGTTTCCATTTGTGTTCTGGAGCTCTGAGGCCACTGAAATTACCAACTGCACTTCCTTCAGCATCACTGCACGCTGTGTTGTAGGGGACAGACAGGGGAACCAAATCTTTTTGTTTTATTTTTTGTGTCTCAATTCTTGCTTCCAAGCCCATACCATCCTGCAAGGCTGCTATTGGAGTCAATGTGTCCATTGCTTTCTTTAGGATATCCATGGCACACTTGTATGCTTCTGTGTTGGAATCACCCAAGCGCACAACTTCGAGAGCATGAGTGTACAAGTTTGAGTGCCTGAATGTAATTGAGTTCAGAGAAATGCTGTCCTTCTGGAGGTGTGATAGATGATTTGGTAGAACATCTCGTGCGTCCTTTGTCCATCGTTTCAAAATATGTTGTGCTGGTATACGGTCTATACCAAGGAAGTCGAGGACCTGCAAAGCAAAAATCATAGTAAGTTATGGTATTCTAACTGATGGGAAAGTTTGTCTTTTTTTGGTACCTTCACTGAATGGCAGCAAAGCAAGCCTGTGTGCTCGAAGTTAGCACACTCACACCTCAGTTTGTCTGCTAGTTTGTCAACTTCTACCCTGTACACTACTCTGCACCATTTCTCATGTTTTTCTGGATGGTATCGCCGTACCAAATAAGTTTCTCCCTTGCAGACCTCTTCTACTTTGTACTGCATTGATTCATACACAACATCGCCAAACTTATCGAACATAACCCGGGTGTATATCTCACTGGCATGCATTTCAAGTGGTGCATTCATTTTCATTACTGGGGATGTCTGCATTGAGGCAAAGAAGAATTAGTAACATGAGATGTAGTAGTCAGCTGAAAACAAAACAAGGTCATGAAGCTAGTTGGAAATCTTACTATTTTTGTACGCCTCTCTTCATAGTTTTCACTTGCCTCCCTATCAAAAAGTAGCCTCATGTATTGACGGACAAATAGGTGCATTGGGCAACTTGCTGGGACATAACCCTTCAGCATGTGGTTGGCACTCTCGCTGCGCTGTGTGCTTGTCATCTTCGCGCAGAATTTGCCGTTGAAGTATGGCTTTGCCCATTTCTCCCTTGTTTCATAGATGTTTGTGAGGTAAGGGTGTGTTTGTAAACCATGACTTTCTACCAGATCCTTCCATGCGGTCTCAAACTCATCAACTGTTAACATGTGTTGGATTATCTTGTGAAACCCTGATCTGAATTTGCTTCGTTTTGTATAAAGTGGGCCAAGTTTTTCCTTTGCACTCTTGAGCACGTGCCACTTGCAACACCTGTGAGTTGTGTTAGGCATGACCTTCTCTAGTGCTAGCTCCATCGCCCTGCACTGATCTGAATCCAGAAGTTGATTTTTACCATAATTGTTATATTTGCCGAATAAATACATGTGAAATGTAAGAAGTTGGAAGGTGTCGGGTTGTATGTCGTCTAACATGTAAGTACAGTTTATGGGTGTTTACCACCCATCATACGGATGAACTCGGTGAATACCCACTCAAAGGTTTCAACTGACTCATCTCGAACCAGGACGCCGCCAAAGATAATAGTCTGGAAGTGATTTGTTGACTCCCACAAATAAGCCGAAAGGCATGTCATACATATTTGTCCGGTACGTGGTGTCAAATGTTATTGCATCTCCGAAGAAATGGTACTGAGACCTGCTTGCTCCTGTTGACCACAACAAATTCCTTATCCGACTGTCCTCATCTGGCTGCACCCTGTAGTACAAGCCAGAGTCTTTTGCTCCAAGCTCAGCAAAAACTTCCATTGTTTTGCGCGCATTATCATCAGCTTGATCTCTGCTGATCTGTCCACACAGCCCCCTCAAAGCTCTCTTGCTGAATGACACGTTGCTCATTGCGCCGAAGAAACTACCAATTATGTTGTACACCTTACCAATACTTATGTTGTTTCCGCGCAGCTGCTTCACAACATCTCTTGTGTATATGTCAATATGTCTGTGTGAAGGCCAATACAGCTTCTCGCCACAATTTTCCGTTAGTGAGTAATTATGGGATGCTCTGTGCTCACTAATATGCCAGCCATTGTCATTTGTCCGGAGTAACCTTATCATTGCGGGACATCGGCAGCGACAGGTTCGTGTGTTGCTTCTTTTGGGGACACCCTAAAGTTTTCACAGACAAATCAAATGTTTTGTTAGTTCGTTCTTCACGTGCACTGGCTGCTGTAGGTACTAATCAGTAAAGATGTGGACAATATATGTAAAGTTGACTTAGTGAAGCATGTTGCTTACCGAGCAACCACACACAATCTCTTGCATGCACTTTATTCTCTCCACATTTAGCATGCTTTTGCCGTACCTGATTCCAAACCCTTTTCCCCATGAACAGAGATTGTAAAAATCGTACGCCTCCCCAAGTGAATCAAATGTGCTTCCGACTACAGGTACTATGACGGTTGGTGTCTTCTCATTCGCATAACCACGAAGTGCTTTTTCCAGGGCAGTTGTCCTGCCGGCCCCTTCACAGGCAGTCTTTGCAACAGCTCCAGTAGCTTTCACAATTTCATAAGTTAGAGGGAATATGAGATATAGTCTTGGAAGATACAGTACTGAGCAAGAACTATAACCACAAGAATGTTATTGTTGTGCTCAGCAGTGAGTACGATAGCTGGTATCACATACTCCCTCCGTTCGAAATTACTTGTCGCAGAAATAGATGTATCTAGATGTATTTTAGTTCTAAATATATGAGTCAATTACACTACTGGTGCTTGAACTTGGTGTAAACGATCACTTTGGTGCTAGAACTTGTGGCATACATTGAACTGGTGCAATAACTTGGCTCGTTTGTGCAAATACGGTCCTAATCGCGTATGGATAGGAAATCAACGCTGACTTGGTGTGTCTACATGGCATGGGGCCTGCTGGCAACGACTTGAAGCGTGTGGCCTGTCTTTTTGGCAACAAAAACCCCTTAAAAAATTTATTTCTCATAAAAAAGACCATGTTCACGTGGTAGATGTTTTTTTCTTTTTGTTGTACGACAAGTAGGTGCTGACGTGAAAACTAAAAGAAAAAAACTTAGGCCTCTACATTCGAACACGCCAACTACTGCTAGGACGCACACCCTCACAGACACGGCAACATCTGCTCCCGGATGTTCAACAGTCGTTAATGTAGTATATAAGGGTATTTGGAAAAAGGAAAGTAGTATAAAGATGATGCATGTGGGGCTTAAATTGGCTGCAGATGTACTCTCGAAAAAAAATGCCTGTAGATAGTGTGGCCTATTTTACATGCGCTAGTTCTTTTTGAAATAATTGTAAAACGTAAGTAATAAAAATAAAGTTCAAAAAATTATGTGTGATAAATATTATACACAAAAATGGTGATTAGTACATAAAAGTTTTTAAACAGACATGCAATTGTTTAGTAAATGCGGGCACTTAAAATGTTTAATGAATATAAAAAAGTATAAAGTTGCGGCTATATTTAAATTATTCAAACTGACAAGTATAAACATTTACTAAATATTAATGAATATTCACTTTTGACTTATATTCAAAGCAATTATCTAATTTAAATATTAGCACCACTGAATATTCGTATTAACATTTTAAATCTTAAACAACATATTTTTTAATTATACAAAAATCATATTATACAAATATGCGTATGATTATTGAAATGTTTGTAGAATTAAAATAACATTTATTAATTGTAATTCTAAAAATATTTGTAATTCTTATTATACAAATATCTTTATAATTTCACAAATATTATTTTACATATATATGTATATTTTAAAAATTATATGTGAACAGTTTAAAAAAGTAATTGAAATGCCACCTTTCCAACGTCAATAAGGCTTTTTTATGAGAAAAAAAAACTCGAGAGGGTTTAACAAAAAAAAGAACTGGCCACACTCCCTCTCTTTGCCATCCTGACGGCGGGACCATGCCATGTTGGCGCGCATAGTCGGTGGCTCGGGCGTACACAACCGAGATTTGCACCGTATTTGCACGCCGGAGCCAAATTATTACACCAGTTCGATGTATACCGCAAGTTCTATCACCAAAGTGACCGTTCACGCCAAGTTCAAGCACCACCAGTGTAATTGACTCTAAATATATCCATTTCCGAGACAAGTAATTCCGAACGGAGGGAGTACCAGACTATGATCTGGACATTAAGTAAAGATACATAAGCAGAATAAATACATGAGAAATTGAGATGAAGTGCTTCTAGGCCGCACGGAACAATACATTTGCACTAGTTATATAATTACTGCCCGTCTAGCACGGCAGGAAATTGTGGTAATTTATATTGTGGCCCGCACGTGCCCACGTATGATTTCTGTGGGACAAGTGTGTTTAGCAGGATGCCCACATATTTTGGTTATATTTGGTCCTGCAAGATTTAAAACACTTAGCGTCACACAGCGATGAACGTAGGGTTCAGAGTACCCGTTTCTGTCTTCAGAGTTCACGTGGATATATTTTCTGTCTTCAGAGCATACAAAATTTTAGAACACCAACTGCATACGTGCATGACTCTGTCAATTGCTAACATCCATGCTTCAAGAGTGTAAAAATTAATTAGAAGCATCAGATGCTAGTTTATTCAATGTGTGCTCACCGTATTACAATCTCTAGGACAATAGATAACCTGCAAAATTCAGAATAAGGAAAATTGGAGCTTCTCATAATAAAACTCCTCCCGGCGTGAGGTCCTACCTGTAACTGAAGCTTCAGGTTCAGGGTTCAGGGTATCATCAATTAGACTAGCATAGCAAAATTAACAGCTCACCAAGCTTTCATTTCCAAAGTGAGCTATACTAGCTTGGGCACATACACATATACGATACCATGTTATGCAAGTCTGAAGCACCCACCCATTGTTTTGACAAACACATTGGCACAACTCATCTTGCAGCAGTGTTCCTACAAGTTAGTACAAAGATTTGACCATGGATGAACTTCAGATGAAAGACGCACTAGTTTGTGCACAACAAGATTATAGTCTCTCATAGAGTAGTACGGAAAATACAAAGGAGAACCTGGGTACCAGCGCACCCTATATGCAAAAAAAAAATAGTAATTCGAAAAAAGTTCAAAACCACTACCACCACTACCACCACTACCACCACTACTACTACCACTACCACTACTACTACTACCACTACCACTACTACTACTACATAATCTGAAAAACATCAATATTAACCCGAGAGGAGAGAACTGAATACATCTTCTAAGACTGCACACATCTCCCTCTGTCAGTTTGGAATCATAATCAGTCCATGGCTTCAGGTAACTCATATCAGCAAGAAAATACACACTCTTACCTTGTCCTTGCCTTTTTGGGTCCTCAGGGCTCTCGCAGACCTCGCAGACCTCGTCGATATCGCCAATCCCTGCTTGCCGTCGATGGGCATCAGAAGCACCTGGTCTTCCGGCCCTAAAACCCTCTTGCGTCTACCTGC